ACAAATTGCTAACCGAATTTCCTAGTGTTTATTAGCTCATATTTTGGCATATACCATGTTTTTGCTCGTGAGTTAGGTTCAAAATGAACTTTTTCGATTGACACCTATTTAGTATGCGGAGAACTTCTTCCAGAAGTCAACGGAAAATCGAGTCGACTTCAGTTTTAGGTTGTTGTTGCCTGAAGAACGTTCTTAGAAAAGGAAGTGGTGGCAATGACCTCCTTTGTTGTTCCGAACCTAGTCTTTCTACTTTTGCATTATATCGCAGTTGGTCTTGGACTTAAAGTATGTTAAATACACTACTATGCATTGCTGTTATGGGTATGGGCAGAACAAGTGGAAAGCTGGGAATCAATTTTAACGGTGAATGCACATTCTCCGGAAGGATCATACCCCCTAATACAGTGACCCTCAAAGTATTTGATGCGCGATCTACCTCAGACTCACTTCTAATCTCGTTGAAAATGGGGGTTGTCCGAATTGTTGACGTTGAATTATGTTCCAAATAAAGAACAGAACAGTTCGTGAGAAGTTTTGCACTTCTTTAATGACGCCAATGCTTAGAGATAGTCAGACATTTGAGATATAACAAAACGTACCAACGAGATGCATCTGACTTATAAAAGACATAATATCTTCGAGGCAAAAGATGATCTCATTACGGTAAAAAAGTCACCTTTGTCGTCGCTGAACCGTGCATAAAATTATCCCTAATTTCATTAGCAATATGAATTTACACACAGCATGCGGCTTACCAGAGAATTCGCGCCAAGAAGCTGAAGTTGACACGATTTTCCGTTGATTTTCGGACAAAGTTCTCCGCATACTAGATAGACACCGATTGAAAAAATCATTTCGAACATAACTGACGAGCAAAAACACGGTATGCTCTAAATTCGGGAGCTAATAAGCAGTAGGAGAATTCGGTTATCAATTAGTGACAAAGGCGGAGAATTTTTAGCGATTGCTCTGCAATTGGACATTAAAATTACGGAAAAACATCTTCATAATTTTAACCTTTTTCTGGCCATCCACTGGAGAGAAATATAAAGCACAATATCGAAAATTAAGCAGAGAATGGGTCAAAACGGCAAGGGCAGCTGGTGTACAACAATCTATAGTCCGTCAACTTAAGAGCGATTTGCCAACTTGTCCCGTCCTACGCATTATCAAAACACATAAGCTCACCTTTAATAGTGATCCAGAGTTTACCGATCCTTTATCATTCAGAGCTAGGCCGATTATTAGCAGTGTAGTTGGACCGACGGATAGAATAACATGGTTTTCGAGCCTCATTTCATCGCTCTTATTGGAATACATGCCAGTCTACCTAGCACCGAAATTTTCCTAGAACGCATAAATCGTACACGGCCAAATCACACTTATGTAGTGGAATCGTTCGATGTTACTGCTCTTTACACGAACTCGTAGAATGACACTCAACTAAAAGCAATTCACGAATTGCTGGTAGAAAATGAATCGAGAATAAATAGTATGACATGTCAAAGAGTAACTCATGACTCTTTTGCGATAGTGCCTAAATTGTTCTATCTTTAGATGATCGGGAAAATATTTTGCACATATTAGAGGGCTGGCAATGAGGCAACGATTGGCACCAAGCCTCGCCACTGCTTTTATGTCGAAAGTGGAAGCTCCATACTGTCGATACATTGATACTGTCAATACATGAATGTTAGTTCCATCATCTGCCCGACACAGGAAAAAGTGGACATATGTTTTGATTTCTTGATTAGGCAGTCACAGCACGTTAAACATACACGGGAGAAACTTACTGAAAACTGGCTTCTATTTTTGAACGTTCAAACTAGCCTTTTTGAAAGTGGCCACGTAACGAAATCTTATTGCAAACCAAGTAATAAAAACTTTTAATGTACTGACTTTTTTCCCATCAGTTGCCCTCGGAAAGGGCGCTCATATGAAACATGTACTAAACGGCTAGAAGTGTTTGCACGGGGAGTGGGAAGAGAGAAGAGTCATTACGTTTGGCACGGAAGATGGCCATTTCAAATGGCTACGAAAGAGCAGCCACTGAAGTTAGGTAAATAGGGAGAGGTATGCATCATAGCAATAATAATGAGAACGATATTGTTTCAAAGCTATGTGGGAAGATACTTTTGAAACTACCTCTTATAACAAATGCAACAAGCGCAGTTATAAAAAGGTGTCTAAGAAACAGTGTTCTGGAAAACTCCCTAATGATCACAATAATTCCTCCTAATAACTTCCGTCGCCAATTGGATCGGAACCGCTTGTACGACCGCTTGTGTAAGACTGACAATTAGTATGTCCTAATGGTATTGAAGGAGACTGCATGAGTTACAATATGTCTAATCTCCTGCACAACATGCGTTGAGGAATGCATTGGTGAGAAAGGAAGACCACTTTGGATCCTCATCAAAGAATATTTAGATTGGAAATCCAACAGCAAAACAAGTAAGCCATTGGGGGCGCCTACAGAGCGGAAACGTCACGACGGGGACTTTTATAGGGAAAATCCTGGGGCAAGATACAGAAATATCAGCGGGAAGAACTCTCGAGGCTTTTTGGATGGACCGCAAAAGACCAGAAATGAATAGGAGGTTAGAATGCCTGATCATAACAAGTGATATGGCGCCTCATCTCAAATTTATCTTCTAATCTGGCTGTGGCTCTTTTTACAAAATGTGTCACTCTAGAAAGGTGACCGCTCTCATAGAACTATGTAGGGTGGAGCTCTGCAGAATGACTAGAGTGTAGATTTTTCCATATGATTTTTTGATGCATTCGAAGTATTAACCGTGTGATTAGATATGGTGTGGTATATACATCTACGCTCTGGCGATGGCGCTGCCGTCGAACCGTTAGCCATCGGATTTTGAGGAAAAGGAAGTAGCAACCTCGTGCTAGTTTTAAATAAAGAAAAGGACAATTTATCAACGAGGGCTGACTTATAGAGCCCGATACACGTGTTTCAATCTTGCGATCTCGTCAGTCGGGCAGTTACCCTTTCTCGTGTTTTGCTAATCTCTGTGGGAGCTCCAGTCCCCACACTAAGAGTTAGCGACGACGAAGTTGTACACTCTATGTCCAGTGAAATTTTCACCGAACATAGGGTGTTGTACACTCGATTGCTCTTGGCTGGTATATTCAATATATCATGTCTTTCGTTTCGAGTGTTTTCTTGAGATCACTGCTTAGATTTTCAAATAATGATTATCAGGCATGTTGAAATATCGAGTGTACAACACCCTGTGTTCGTGAAAATTTCACTGGACATGGAGTGTGAAAGGTTCGTCGTCGCGAACTCTTAGGTGGGGACTGGAGCTTCCACAGAGATTAGCAAAAGACGAGAAAGGGTAACTGCCCGACTGACGAGATCGCAAGATCGAAACAAGTGTATCGGGCTCTATAAGTCAGCCGTCACTGGTAGACCACTGACATGCGTGGCTCAAATAATGATTATCAGGCATATTGAAATTTGAGCAGTGGCCTTGAGAAAACACTTGAAACGAAAAGGAATTGTTATTTTTCGAATCATGCATGAAGCCTGCTAAGGGCACTTATACAGCCCAGTGCACGTGTTTCGTTCTTATCGGCCCCCTCAGTAGGGCAGCGTCTCTCGTCTTGACCAGTTCTGTCGAGGGGGACCTAACTCCCTTGCATGGAGAAGACGCAGACATACTACGTACAAGTGTCATAAAGTGAAAGAATTTACTAGATGGGCGATGTAATAAACTAGAGTGCTCTTTGTTGGTATTTATGATATATCATATCATTCCCTTTATTGTTTTCTTAGAACCACGCTCAAATTTCGACAGGCCTCACAATTTTCTTAAAGCACACATTTCCTTTGCTTGATGGCACGTGTAAATTATGCGTCTGCGTCGCCTCTTTCTATAGTATTTGAGCTTCCCCGAGAGGATCGGCTAAGACGAAGGACATTGCCCAACTGACGACGCTGCAAAGGCCGAATATTGGGCTGTATAAGTGCCCGTAACAGACCACATGTGTGGTTCAAAAGATAATTATCAGGCATATTGACTCTCCACTATTTAGTCTTTTGTGTTTCAGTTATCTAATGAAGTCATTCTTATCGATTTAAAGGTTTTTTTATTTGTACTGATGATTCTCGGTTGTGATTGCTCATAAATGTTTTCTCATCGTTTTGTATCTCTAACAGAAACGCATCATGGTGAGTGCTCCTGCGACTAGACACAATTTTTCCACATTGCCGCACGATGCGATAATATACCTTTATGCATTCCAATCATTTTTGAGCCACGCGTGCCAGTGGTCTGTCAAATAGGGCTGACTTATAGAGCCCGATACACGTGTTTCGATCTTGCGATCTCGTCAGTCGGGCAGTTACCCTTTCTCGTCTTTTGCTAATCTCTGTGGGTGCTCCAGTCCCCACGCTGAGAGTTAGCAACGACAAACGTATTACACTCTATGTCCAGTGAAAAACTCATCAAACACAAAGTGTTGTACATTCGATTTCTTGTGGCTAGTATATTCAATATATCATAATATTCGTTTCCAGTGTTTTCTTAAGACCACAGCTCAAAATTCAATATGCCTTGCAATCGTTTTTGAGCCACGCAAGTCAGTAGTCTGTCAAACAGGCTGACTTATAGCCCGATGCACGTGCTTCGATCTTGCGATCTCGTCAGTCGGTAAACAGCTGGGTTCATCACGCTCTCTTCGTGAGAACGGGAATAATTTTTTTTTTTGGTTAATTCTCAAAAATCATGTACTTGATAACTAAGAGAATTGAGTGGTGGACAAAAACACGGCCTCAGGCGGAAATCGAACCCACGTTTCATCCTATCCGGGGACGTGTGCTCTACCACTACACCACCGAGGCACATTTGCCCGATCACTCATTCTTCAACATCTCAACTGGGTTTATAAAGCAAAATAGCATACCCGACCAACCTGTCAAAGGTTGGTGGCTGATAGCTAACACTGAGATGTTGAAGAATGAGTGATCGGGCAAATGTGCCTCGGTGGTGTAGTGGTAGAGCACGCGTCCCCGGATAGGATGAAACGTGGGTTCGATTCCCGCCTGAGGCCGTGTTTTTTGTCCACCACTCAATTCTCTTAGTTATATAAGTAATATAATAACACTGCGGAAAAAACAGTGAAAATACTATAATTTCATGTACTTGAGTCACCAAGATTTGATTCATGTTCAGGACTTCTGAATGTTATCCGAAATAGGAATATGACGCTAGCATGAAATATTTATGTAACAATCAAACAGGATATAAATGGTTTTATCAACTCGCATGACCGACTAACAAATAATCTTTGCATTGATTGAATAGTTCCTTCATTTTCTTTCATTCAACAAGTACGAGGTTGTTAATTTGACGATTTATTCAGTACAGATGAATAGTCGTTTCGGGTTTGTCGCCTTCTTCAGAGCCTGTAGGAGTCGAATTGATATGAAACACACTCACACAAGCACTTTCATAACCAGAGCAAAACAGCTTACACACCTTTTATTGTTTTATGGTTGCTTTCATGAGTTCTTTCTGATTTATTAAACTCCTATATAAGTCAAGAGAGTATGACTTATCACGCCATAGTGGAGACCACACTACGATCCACACTACCAAGCCAAATGGAGTAGCAACACTAACAACGCTACTGGAAATGCTCTGTCATATCAAGTGATGGATAAAGAAAATATGCGCTCTACACCAATGAAAAATTCTAACTAATCAAACAATGAGGCATCATGATCTCTAAAGGAGGACAAAAGAAAGAGAACAGTAAGAAGCATCAGAAAGGCAAAGTGTAGATACGGTAACGCAGAAAAAACTGTAGCCCACTCTTGAGATACAAAACTGAAATCTCAATCAAGTAAAGAGATGGTAAAAACAGACATCCGCTAGAAACCATGTATGCGTAAACGGACGATTTTAGTTGTTGGGATGAGTTGTTTCCACCTATACACTGGTAATCGAGGATCATGACAAAGTTCACTGAAAGAATAACAAGCCTCAATTCTTGTATGCGTTAGAGATATGGCGAATAATCCAAGCATAACATACATTTGCACCACAGTACACGGATGTCTCATAAGCGGATCAATTCAATTCCGAGTTTCCTTGGAATAGTTGCTGTCGGTCGCTTTTTTCTTTGAGGATATTCAAAAACAATATGTGTTAAGGAAACCGCCAGGTCAAATTACCTATGACGCATGAAACTTATAAATATGGCAAAAAATACCGGACAAGGAGGAAAAGTTGTCGAGTACTTTGTCCCGCTTCTACGTTGCGGTGGTTAATGTTCCCCGGCACTGGTCACTGGAATTGGCTGCCAGATTAATAGCAGCGTCATATTCGCCAAAATGGCTCATATACGGTGTCCACGATACCGAGCTTGGCATAATAACGACTTGTCGCTTTTTAGTATCGCAGAATTGTTCCTGAGAGCCTATAATTTATGGATTAACAAAAAATGATTTCGTAACTACACGAGAGTACTTGCTGACATAAAGATACATTTCAAATTCTGTTACCTACCACTCTCTTGCTGCTTCTTGCCGTGTATTGCATTATTTGGCGGTGGGACGGCTTACGGAAGGTGCAGCTGTCCTGATAGCGATGGCTCATGAAAGAAGTGGCAGTCCTTGTGGCAGGCTGGGAAGAAGTGGAGATCCTGGTGGTAGATCGGTTTATGGAACAAGTGGCAGTCCTGGTGGCGGGCCGGTATGCGGAATAGCTGCAGAAGGTAGAGAATAATCGATTTCGTTTCAACTATGCAAATAATTAGTGTTTTGGGTAATAAACAGCTAACGTGAGCCAAATTCCTGCAGATTAGAACATCCTATAGAAAATGGTGGTCAGATAGAGTTGAAAAATGAAGTCAAGTGTTATCGTGCAGGAAAATTGCAAAGTTCGCGCCGTTTTGATTTTTTAATGTGATTTCGCAATAAAATTGCAAGACCTTGATATCATTCAATTGAGCATTTTCTCGCGAACATTTTGGTTTACAACTTGCTGTACGTGCTTGCCGGAGGAGCTCGCTAATGGCTCCATTAATCTTGTGCTCCACTTCACTAACATTTTTCTCTACGCGCCGTTCATGCTTGAGTAGCAAGCGAATTTGTTCTTATGGCAGTTTCATAATAAAGCGGGTACCGGCAAGTTGTATATCAAAAGGTCCGCTCAAAAAACGAAATTGAGCGCTAGCAGAATCATGCAATTTCACTTAATTTTGGTTAATAGACCTGCGAAGAAAATCTCCGCAAATGGCTTTTTTGGCCACAACAGTTGTCATCTTCAATGTCCTATATAAACTTACAAGTAGATCTGTTGGCTCATGTTGACTCAAATAACAATGGAGAGATCTATTGAAATTCGAGCGTGGTCTTATGGAAACACTCGAAATAAAGGCATAAGATTACTAAAATACCAGTCAACGTTCAATCGAATATAAAACACTGTAAGTTTGGTGATCTTTTCACTTGACATACAGTGTAAACCGTTCGTCATCGATAACTCTCTCTAGGGAGAGCAGGCTCCCGAGAGGACTGGCTAATGAATTGAAAGACGACGAGTTCCGCCCGACTGACGAGACTGCAAGATAGAAACACGTGTATCGGGCTGCACAGGAGCCTTACCAGATCATACGACATGTTGGCTCAAATAACAATGAAGAGATCTAGCATGTAAATCATTCTGAATATGAAAAATATATAAATAATAGCAACTTTAGGGCACTTTCAAACGAAAACTTGGGAGTTTGATATCTTTATTTTTACTATTTTTAACCAAAAAACTGCGGAGTCATATTTGTAAACCTAATGTCTGGCTGCAGTGGTGATTCAAGCATATTAACATATTAAACAAAATGACCGGCAACTGGTTTATCGACCTCAGAGCCTTTGATAAAAAGTGCAGAGGAAGAGGGTTTTTGAGAGGACGCCATAAAGCTATAACCATGAAAGTGAACTCTGATGAAACGATTTCGATGAAGCGAATTTCAATTGAACGATCGCCTCTGAAGTATTCACAGATGGAGAGACTTTTGTTGTGGAGAAATAAAGAATGGTGATCTAAAACATTAGAAATTAATCAGCGTGCGAATTCTTTAAGCTTTCAAAAGTCACTTAACAGGTAGAAATACATGGAACTCATTGTTTCAAAGTTTTTAAAGGCGATTTATAGGAGCAACACAGTCAAGAAGGTAAACTTTGAATGTGATACATCACGATTTCAAACAACATGTACTGATCTAACCTCAAATCTCAAAAGTTTGCTTAAATTTTTGGAAAATAAATAGCACAAACTTCAAAATAATAGCGTAATTTCTGTCCTTTCCAGAGAAAAATAGAAGCTACAATAGTTAGAAAGCTACAAAAAAAGAACTCTAACAGATCAAGTATTTCTAAGTGAGTTCCACTAGTTTTTTGAAGGAAGGGTATTGTAAAAGAGAAGAAATGATGAATTTGAACTCTCCAGATGTTCCAAAAGTGATAAAGTGACATTATTCAACAGGGACGGCTAACTCAAATGGCGATAGTATAATTGAACTTCTTCTAACTCGCTGCAAAAATCTGACGAGTTACTTGTGGGCCGTATCGGAAAAAGGACAACCAGCAAATAACGCCGTCATTATGGTGAGACTTCGTAATTCAGTACACTACGTTTGCGTAGAAATTATTTGCCCATAAATTGGAGATTGCAAACTGCATCGTTTCGGACGAATTCAATCGACGGAGAGGCACTCCAAGACATAAAACTCAGAAACATGGGGCACTATCAATCTGCGAAAATCCGGATTGTTAACGATAACTGCGAGCATTTCTCACAAATAAAACGTTCTGATGGAAGTCACAATATGAACAAATCGAAAAAAAAACGGGAAAGACGAGCACTCACAGCTTCAGCCAAGACATTACCAATCATAGAGACAAAGTTACCACTTAATGACGTAAATTCATGCGTTTCTGAACGTAAAAACGCACGAGTGTTATTGGGAAAGTTCAGTGCCCTTCTTGATAAGTAGACACGAGGCTGTCATAGTAGAATATATTAAATACAACGTATTACCATCAGTGGCCAACACCTGAGTGGTGTCGCGATCTTCAAAGCCTGAAAAGGCTAACTTGCAGCCTACCAGTTAGGCAGTTCAATAACTTCAGCAGAAGATATGATATATGAATTCTCAGGTGCGAAGTGAAAGGTTTCTATAAAACATTTATTTTGTTCCTTTCAAGTTTTCTGATTATTTAAAAAACCAGCCGCACACCATCGAATAAACTTGGCTCAAATCAAAAATCGGGTTCCAGATAAGGCGCGAGATCACGCATGATGTTTGGGCACTCGTTGTTACTGTTTGTTTCTGTATTTTTGACATTTGCACAAGTCGGTCCGAGAGTCTTAAGTGCAATGTTCGTGAATCTACGTAGTTCCTAATGTAATTTATTTCAAAATGATAATTTCAATCTATGTGATCTAGTTCATTTGTTATCTGTTCAATATGCCCTCTAAGACAGTCGTTTGCACTTCTGAAAATGAAATGTATGCTAGAAGTATTGGGGCTCGCATGGCGAAGAAAGAATTACGATACAGGTCAAAAGTGACAAAAACACAGAGATCGCCATCAGGCTCGAGCGAAGTTATGAACTGAGCTACTGCATAATATGGATGTAGTAGTTTCAGTAGAGGCATCCTTTAGAGAGACCAGCATTGATTTTCAGGTCGTCGAACTACCTCCTCCGATGGAGCTGATTTTCAAGGAAGATTATGGAACTTTCAGAACTTTTATTATAGGAATGTTGCTCAATAGCGGCATAAAAAGGCCCAATGAACAATCAAGTTGATGAGAATAGTATGATTTTGTCAAAGAAATTAATGCATGTTCCATAAGCCAAAACTGGGAACTTCAGATCAGTTTGTTATCAAAACCAAAATGACCTTGTTTTAAAACTCTCCTATTCGAGCTTTTACGTCATTGAGAACAAGGCGTTAAACATATGCCAATAAGCCAGAAGTCTAGTGGCAACGGTGGAGTGCATAGGGCGTCAAGGTCGAAACACGTGTATCGGGTTCTATAAG